ATGGTCAAAACACTTGTAAAAAGCTCCAGAGAGAAAAGAAAAAAAAAAAAAATAATAATAATAATAAAAAAAAAAGAGCCACGACCCTGCTGCATCCTTTTCTTCTACATCAACAACAGGGCTGATGTGCTATGGCCCAAAGCCAGCAGAAGTAAGCCAGCTGCCCCACACTGCTCCAATGTGCCTCTGAGCAGAGCAACAAACACACCAGCTGCAGAAGGAAAACCCACTTCATTAATTAATAATTCCTCTTTTTGCTGATATAAAGCCCACTACCTCTTGCCTCCCTCAAAAAAACCACAAAAAACAAACCAAGACTTTAACCTCCTAAGCACTTAGAAGGAAGAAATATATATACACATTGTTAGAGAAGTTGGTTACAGTTCTATTTTGCAATCTTCCCCTGGCTTGCTCATGTTTTTGACACAAAGCTAAGGCTGAATTTGTCACTGCTATCAGGAGCATACTTTTTTCCTTTATATGAAAAAAAAAAAAAAAAGGTGGGCAGTGCCCAAAGCACTAGGAAGTCCCAGGGGGATGCAAAGCACTTCCTAAATGCTGGAGCAGGCTGTGATTTTTTACACCCATGGAAATCTGGTTTGGAGCAACTAGTTTGAGATTACACAGGGAGTCTGGGGCAGTGCCAAGTGCTGGAGCAAAACCTCACGCAAGCCTGCACCCAGCCTCTCAAATGCAAGGTGGGAGTGGAAGGCAGGACCAGCATCTTCTCCACGAGGACCTCAACACAAGGTGCAAACAAGGGCAGGTGATGGAAGAGGCACGGGTTGTGGAGGCTGCTGGGTCCTACTCACTTCTGCAGTTGTGTGAGGAATGAAGACAACAGCAACTCCTCCTTGCACAATCCAAGTCATCCTGTTTGCCCTCCCTGCCATCAGATGTCAAATGAGGTTAAAGGCACCTTTGTTCTCTTCGCAATCAAGTGGTCATCAGTTGGTGCTCAGACATTAAATAAGTGTGCATGTTAAATACAAGGGAGGAGAGGAGTAAGGCCATGCTGCGAGACAGCAGCCTTCAACACTGAGCTCTGGCAGGGGATTTCAGTGATGGTTTCATGGAGCACCATGAAAGGTGAGACAGGTAACAAGAGCAAGCTGGGGAAACTGAGGCGCAAAGGCATGAGTTGCTTTACCTAATGATGAGAAGAAAAAGCCCAGCCTGGGGGAGAGAAGGCTCTGGGAAGACCTTATTGCAGCCTTTCAGTATGTAAAGGAGATGTTATAAGATGGAGAGAGACTTTTTACCAAGTCCTCTAGTGACAGGACAAGGGGCACCAGTTTTAAACCGCAAGAGGTTAGATTTTTTGGTTGGATACAAGGAAGGAATTTTTTACTATGAGGGTGGTGAGACAGGTTGCCAAGAGAAACTGTGGATGCCCCAGCACTGAAAGTATTCTAGTCCAGGTGGGATGGGGCTCTGAGCAACCTGGTCTAGCACGAGGTGTCCCTGCCCACGGCAGCGGGGCCGAACTAGATGATCTTTAACGGTCTCTTCCTAATCAAATCACTCTGCGCTTCATTCTGTGAAGCCTAGTGTCAGAGCCAAGCACAGAATTTAGATATTTGATCTCCTGGGTTGTATGTACTGAGCAACCTTCCCTCTCCACGTGCGTTTCCCTAAGACGCGGGGCACGGAGGAGCTGGCGCCGGTAGGCCCTGCTGCAACACAAACAGAACGAGCAACAATCCTGACAGGAAATACCACAGTAATTCCCCTCGTTTCTGGAATAATTCCTTCTCCCAGATACTTGTGCCGGCATTTCCTCCAGCCCTGCTAACAAACGCTGCTTTACTCTTTCTTGCCATCTGCCTCAGCAAGGAAAAAAAGCAAAGCCACCGCAGCGGCCACTTTCCAGGCTTTCCTTGAGGCATTTTTAGCTCCTTCCTCAAAGCTCCTCATTTCATGAAAAGACCACAAACTGCCGAGCTTCAGAGGAAGCACTGTTTGGGAATTTGTGTGGGGGGGGTGATCGTTTCTGTCCACCAGGAGCTCATCTGGGGACCCTGCACCCCAGTGGGCTTGGCCAAGCTGGGCCCCCAGAGCTGGAGCAAGCAGCTCTGTGAGCTGGTTTAGATTAAGGAAAACTCTGGGGAAAAAAAGAAAAAGAAATTTAAAAAATGGAAAAAGTGTTTCCAAACGAGGTGAATCATGATCTTATACAGAGATCCCCGAAGAGCTCGACTGCTGTTTGTAATAAAAGCACACGCGGAGAGCAGGAAAACACGCAGTCAGGCCTAAAATGGAAGCGGCTTTGGAGGAACGGGAGGCGCTGAGCGCTCTTGGCTGCTCAACACCCAGAAGGGCTGGCCAGGCTGAGGGCTTGGGTCCAAGCTGAGCTATGCCATGCCTCTGGAAAAGGGTGACCCATGGTGCAGGGGCATCACCCCTCGCTGCATCTCCTTGATGCCACCAACTGCAGGCCAGGACCTCCACACCTCCCCATGCACGAGGGTGGCACCAAGAGCTGAAGCACCCAGACCTGCCAT